AGGAGCCGGAGGCTCGCGGGGCTCGCTTTAAAACCCCTTGCCAGTGTAAAAAAGCGTGCTCTTCCCCCCTGCCCCGAGAGAGAATTCCTTTATGCTTCGTGTGTCAACATGAGAGTTCCTTTCCCGGCTCTGCCGCGGGTTTCCCTGGACAAAACAGCCCTCGGCGCCCGTCGCTGCCCTCGCCTCTGCCCGGCCGCCTCAGCAGCGATGCGGGCAGGCGCAGGGAGCTGGAGCAAACGCTTCTAGCGTGTTCACGTGAGCCCCTTGCATGGATTTTTAGAAACCCCGTCATCTTTCCAAGCCTTATTACGAAGAACCCATTCTCTTTTAAAGCCTGGAATGCAGTTTTCCAGCAATCTTAATACCAAAAGGTGTGGCAGGCCCCCCAGTCCCAATACCAAAAGGTGTGGCAGCCCCCCAAGTCGCAGTGTTTAATTTTCAACGTTTCGCCTTACTTTGTCTGGTAGACGCTGTTGTTATTCTTGGAACACACGCACGCACACACACTCGCACTTTTATTTTTTTTCATTTTTCCTTAAACTAAAGCTAACTTCAGTTTCTGCTTTTCACAAAGTAACCCCCTCCAGCCATTTCTTTTAATGCCTTTCCCATAGGAAATCATCGTTTGCACGCACAAACGGGGGAAGGCCGGGTGCCTCCCCCCATCCAGTGGCAATAAAAACAGCATAGCACCGCAGTGAAGGCTAGACGTGCCAGCTTCAACATCCACCTAGAGTGTGCACTTGTTCGTTACAAAAGTGTCTTTGAGGCCTTTTAAAGTTCCATGGCTTGACGTGTATAAAGCATTGCTCAAAAGTATGTGTAAACTTGCAGCTCCTTCCGTGACGCTCTCGTGCGATTCCTTTTGGTATCAGCAGGCCGCTCGCGCTTGTGTCCAACACCTCATTTAGTTGCTTCTCTTTCTTGTGGTCGCTTCTTGCAATGGGAAAATTTGCCGAGTCTGCTGGTTGTTAAACCACGCTGCGGAGCCTTTCTGCTTCCCGACAGACCGGTTCTCCCACACGGCAGTACACCCGGGACGAGCCCTTTGCTACACTGGTGCTAACGAAGGGAAGATGAGTGGAGCAGATATGTTAATGCAGCTTTACCTTACCGTGTCAACTGGATTGCGATGCGCTTTCCCTTTGATTTCACCTTAACGCTTTGTGCAGAAATAGATTAGAATTTATTGGCTGTATCTCTTTGTAGGGAGGTTTTTTTGGCAATTTTTATCTTCATCAGATTACTACAAAAAACCAAACTAGCACACCCCCAACCTCTCTCTGTATTGGTGTGCAACCTGTGCCAGCCACAGAGATGCCATCAGTAGCAGCACTTGCCTCTGCTTTAGGTAAAGCCTTTGTAAACCTCGTTTGTCCAGTTTAACCGTAGCTTGTCGACAGTGATGCTGTGATACCAGCCCAGACCTCCAGTGCGGCTTCAGCACAGGGGGTTACTTTACTTGCACGCAGGTGGGCTCAAAGCGAAGAAGGAAATGCTGTTTTACAGGAGGTGGTCGTGTCTGCCTTTGAATTAAATGAGAGGGATGTTCTTGTCACAAGAACTCGCTGAGCAAACTCATCCTGCCAACGTTGGTGTGGCGATCTTTGGCAGTGCAGATCTGATTGCGAGACTCTGACGCATCTTTGAAGTGATGGGATTTTACTGTTTGATAACAGATGCACTTTCAGAACTAGGATATCCATTTCTCAGCCTCTGCCCCATTTTGCGCTAGCC